TCAGGAAGAGCTCGTGGCAACTCTACTCAGGAATAAATAACTTTTAAGAGTGCCCTGGGTTTATGATATTTTTTTCTATGGAGGGGTGAGGGATTAGCTGTATTTGTTATTTATTTGGCTGCTTTTCTGAATGAGTCAGAAACATTTGTAACCCTCGTCAGAGGTGTGGGAGGCATGCTTCTTCTAGAGTGAGCCGTTTCATTAATATTTACACATTTGTTAAACTTACAGTACAAGATCCACAACCACTTACCAAGAAGTATGTGGTCTTTCGATTCTTTTCTGTCAAGTTGTATGGATGTAGAGAAACTATTCAAAGTTTCTCTCCCTTCTATTTATGAAATTCTCAGTCATGCCTTAGAAGTCACTGGATTTAAGAACAAATTAATGATGCACACACATGTTTATTGCAGCTTTGTTCACAATAGCAAGGAATTGGAAACAACCCAAGTGCCCATCAACAAACAAATGGATAGAAAAGCTGTGATATATTCACACAATGGAATACTGTGCTGCATTGAAAAACAAGGAACTCATGCAATATTATTCAAAATGAGTGACCCTGGAGGACATCATGCTGAGTGAAATATCTCAGTCACAAAAGGACAAATACTACATGGTGCCACTCTTGTAAAACAGGACTGACCTCGGGATCGGGGGAAGGCTGAAAAAGATGGGTTCCATAATGTATACTGCATTGAAACAGATGAGGGAGAGAACTGTTTAAAAGGGATATGCGATTAGGTATTTTTGTCATGATAGGAGTCCAGAGTGAGGGCTGCATAGCGGAGTGGACTTGGGGGAAGGGATTGTACAACAATGAAAAAAATTTTCTTTTACTTTTCTAGGATGGTAGTGTACTAGGGGGAAGGATTAGGAGAGGAGAAAAGTGCAACAGTGAATGACTGGAAATCTGAAGTCTCTGTAAATTTTCATTAAAATTAATAATAATTTTTTAAAAAAAGAATAAATTAATGCATGCTGTTAAAGTGCTGTGGATATGACTCCTATTCAAGCAACCCTCTGTGTAACGTGTATGAGGACCGGGAAGAGGGATTAGGAGCAGAGGGAGGAGGATGGGCAGGGGGGGCATGGTAAGGTCATGCAATTTGATGACTGGATGGAGGGATGGGGAAAAGAAATGGGAAAGATCCAGCAGGGATCTGAAAAGACACAATGGTGGGCTAAGTTCAATGTCGATTAATTTCATAAACTATAATGAATATGAAAAATGGTATGAAACACAATGTGAGTGAAGATAGCGTGAAATAGAATATATATGAATCTTGTAAGCAAACCAGTATAAAATGAAAATTTATTTAACAATAATAAAAACAACAAAGCCCCGTTCAATCATGTGTCTTCCTCACAAGCTGCTGTTCGTAAGCCCATTGGTCCAGTCACTGTGTCATTCTATCTTGTTGAAAATCTTCCTCTCCTTCATGACTCTCCAGTTTTCCAAGCATGATGTCCTTTTCCAGGGAGTGACCCTTTCTGATACTTGCCCAAATTATGCAAGATGCAGTTGAACCATCCTTGCTTCTAAACGTCTGCCAACACAATTTTGTTCCTTTATTTGCAGATGTTACCATTCAAAGGCATCAATTCTTTTTCAGTCTTTCTTATTCATTGTCCAACTTTCATATGCATATGAAGTAACTTCAAATACTATGGTTTGGGTGAGGTGCACCTTAGTCTTTAGAGTGCCATCTTGCTTTTTTAGCACTTTAAAGATGTTCTTGGAGGCATATTTTCCCAATGTAATAAATCTTTTGATTTCTTGACTGATTGATATGCATCAGAGAGCTAGACAGTGAGGAAAGATGACAGAAGACGAATTTATGGCTTTGAGTTGTGGTGCTGGAGATGAGCATTGAACACGGAAGAAGCGGCCAAGAGAACAAACAGGTCTGTCGTGGAAAAAGTGAAACCAAGTTGCTCCTCTGAGGCAGGGATTGTGAAGCTCCTCTCTCACATACTTTGGGCATGTTGCTTGGAGGGACCAGTCTCTGGAGAAAGACATCATGCTTGGAAAGGTGGAGGGATAGCACAGGAGAGGAAGACCCTCGATGAGATGCGTTGACATGGTAATTTGGGTAATGGTGATAGCTGTGTCAGAGACAGTGAGATTGGTTCAGGATAGGGCAGGGTACAGTTATTGTACATAGAGTCACTATGACTCAGTCAATTTGACAGCACATAACAACAGTTACTCCCATTAGAGTTACCTGTGGATTCAAGTAAAATGAAATTATTGATGACTTGAATATTTTCTCCCTTTACATAATGCTTCTTGCTAGTCCATATGTGAGGATTTTTGTTTTCTTGATGTTAAGATGTAATATGTGTCTTCACTCATTGCTTCAAATCTGTATTTTGAGCAAGCAAGATTATATAGTCTGCATACTGTGCAGGTTGTTGATGAGACATTCTCCAATTCTGATGTTGCGTTCTTCACATATTACAGTTTCTCAAATTATTTGCTTGGCGTATAATTTGAACGGTCTAGCTGTAGTGAATATATCCAACCAGGATGCACCTTTCCTAATTTGAAGCCATGCTGTTCTCCCTTCTGCTGTTCAAACGACTGCTTCTTATTCTGTATACAAGTTCCTCACTAGCACAATGAAGTGTTCCAGCATTCTAATTCTTCTCAATGTCATTCATCATTTATTATGATCCACACAGGTGAATGCCTTTTCATAGCCAATAAAGCCCAAGCAAGCATATTCCTGATATTCTCTATTTTCAGCCAAGACCCATTTGATGTCAACAATGCTGCCCATCTTTCAGGACCTCTTCTGAATCCAGTTTGAGTTTCTAGCAGCTCCTTTTTGTTTAATAATCATAAAACATAGACATTTCTTTTCACTGCTTCTTGCATGAAGAGGTAGCACATAATTACTTTCCTCTTGTGTCTGGGCTGTTATTAGTATTTATTGGTCATAACAAGCAATGCAAGCGACACTCTACGGTCTCAGGTGTCAGGCAATAAGAAGCCATGTAGTTTCTACCCCACCTCTCGTCGTCTTCTGTCTTGAAATGCTCCCTCTCCAAATGCAGCTGTCGTACTCTGAGAGATTCAGACCTCACGGACAGGCCACACAGACCCACAGTTCCAGCTACCAAGCATGAACAATCAAGTAACCTTTCTGGACCTTTCAATTCAGTAAAGCATCCAGATTATTATACTCCCAGCTGACAACTACAACGCCATGAGATGATCAGAGTGGAAATTTCCCAGCTGAGATAATCGAGCTGTAAAACCAAATCCAAAAGAAGTCAATCAAACCCAATGCCATCAAGTGAGTGAGTTAATTTCTACTCAAAACTAGCCTGTAAGGCAGAGAGAAGCTATTCAGAGGGCTTTACAGGTCACACATCTTTATAGAAGCTGACCATCATCCTGGAGAGTATCTAGTGGGACAGGACCATCAGCATTTGGGTTCGTAGCCAGTGCTTTGATGACTGCATCAGTTTATGCATCTGTGAAAAGGAAAATGTTTAAGCCACTAAGTTTTGGATTTGTTGGTAATTCACAACTGGAACACTTGTTATTTAAGATTTTTTCCTAAGTGGCAGATTTTTATTACCACTATACATTATTGATGTAGAAGCAAATAAGTAGTTATACCTTTCTGGCCAATGGTAAACACGGTTTTTAAAAATACGAAATGCTTTTCTAATTAGAAAATAAATAATGTATGCTATTCTGTGGCACTTGAGGGTGAAATTAATTGAATCAGTACTATTGTATCATTACTTTTTTAATTTTAAAAAGTAAAAAAAAGGAACATCATTAACAGATTCTTAATTTTTTCACTCTTATAATTACCACTAGCACTTTTCACATGTTACTTAATTTAATCTTTGTTAATGTGTATATGTTGCTACTGTTATTATTCCTGTTTTACTTAAGAGGAAACTAAACCTTAAAATCATTAAGTAATGTATTCACTATTTCAAAGCCAGGATTTTAATAAATTTCTTCTCATTTTAAATCTCAAACTTTTTGCCAGAAAACTCAGGCCCAATTCCAGCAATAAACCTTGATGTAAAGCTCAACAGTCACCTTCAGTCTCTAATTATGATGCCAGTAACATCATGAGGGCTGTGTGGACTGTGAGGGCTGTGAGGGCTGTGTGGACTGTGAGAGCTGTGTGGACTGTGAGGGCTGTGAGGGCTGTGTGGACTGTGAGGGCTGTGTGGACTGTGAGGGCTGTGAGGGCTGTGTGGACTGTGAGGACTGAGGACTGTGAGGGCTGTGTGGATTGTGTGGACTGTGAGGGCTGTGAGGGCTGTGTGGATTGTGAGGGCTGTGAGGGCTGTGAGGACTGTGAGGGCTGTGTGGACTATGAGGGTTGTGTGGACTGTTAGGGCTGTGAGGACTGTGTGGACTGTGAGGGCTGTGAGGGCTGTGTGGGCTGTGAGGGCTATGTGGAGTGTGAGGGCTGTGAGGGCTGTGTGGAGTGTGAGGGCTGTGAAGGCTGTGTGGAGTGTGAGGGCTGTGAGGACTATCAGGGCTGTGTGGACTGTGAGGGCTGTGTGGACTTTGAGAGCTATGAGGGCTGTGAGGGCTGTGTGGAGTGTGAGGGCTATGAGGGCTGTAAGGGCTGTGTGGACTGTGAGGGCTGTGTGGACTGTGAGGGCTGTGAGGACTGTGAGGGCTGTGAGGGCTGTGAGGGCTGTGTGGACTGTGAGGGCTGTGAAGGCTGTGTGGAGTGTGAGGGCTGTGAGGACTATACGGGCTGTGTGGACTTTGAGAGCTATGAGGGCTGTGTGGACTTTGAGAACTATGAGGGCTGTGTGGAGTGTGAGGGCTGTGAGGGCTGTAAGGGCTGTGTGGGCTGTGTGGGCTGTGAGGGCTGTGAGGGCTGTGAGGGCTGTGAGGGCTGTGTGGACTGTGAGGGCTGTGTGGGCTGTGAGGGCTGTGAGGGCTGTGTGGACTGTGAGGGCTGTGTGGGCTGTGAGGGCTGTGAGGGCTGTGAGGGCTGTGAGGGCTATGTGGACTGTGAGGGCTGTGTGGACTGTGAGGGCTGTGTGGACTGTGAGGGCTGTGTGGACTGTGAGGGTTGTGTGGACTGTGAGGGCTGTGAGGGCTGTGAGGGCTGTGAGGGCTGTGAGGGCTGTGAGGGCTGTGTGGGCTGTGAGGGCTGTGTGGACTGTGAAGGCTGCGTGGACTGTGAGGGCTGTGAGGGCTGTGAGGGCTGTGAGGGCTGTGAGGGCTGTGTGAACTGTGAGGGCTGTGTGGACTGTGAGGGCTGTGTGGGCTGTGAGGGCTGTGAGGGCTGTGTGGACTGTGAGGGCTGTATGGACTGTGAGGGCTGTGAGGGCTGTGTGGACTGTGAGGGCTGTGTGGACTGTGAGGGCTGTGAGGGCTGTGAGGGCTGTGTGGACTGTGAGGGCTGTGTGGACTGTGAGGGCTGTGAGAGCTGTGAGGGCTGTGTGGACTGTGAGGGCTGTGTGGATTGTGAGGGCTGTGAGGGCTGTGTGGACTGTGAGGGCTGTGAGGGCTGTGAGGGCCGTGTGGACTGTGAGGGCTGTGTGG